CTCCAATTCTTGGGGAGCCTCATCATAGTCTTAAAGTACCAACTATATTACCCTTTAACATCTCTATTTAAATTGGGAAGCAGGAAGCCACAATGGAGGGAAAACATATATGAATATAAGTCACACTCCCAAATAGGGCACTGAGCACCTTCCTTATATTGTTTGCTCTGCTCATTCTTTTCTGTAGCTCTTTGGTTTCTGTTTGGATGGGCTTTGTTTCCCTCTGTAACGTTGTGTGCTCCACACCAGTATGTTCCACTGTCAGAACCAGACTTCTCATCTCTCGTCTTCTTCATGTCTCCCATTGAGTTCCTGTTTCTTCTCTGTGGGAAACCACTTTCTTCTACTGACAGATCTAGAACTGAGCTCCATGAAAGATTCATCTTAGTTCCTTCTGCAGCATCAATGACCACTCATTAATCCCCAGGCAGTAGGGCCCAGTGGAAAGTGCATGGGCTGATTTTGGAGTCAAAGGACCTAGATTTTATTTTATTTTATTTATTTTATTTTAATTTTATATTTTTATTTTTAAAGATTTTTTTTATTAATTTATTCATGATAGAGAGAGACACAGGCAGAGGGAGAAGCAGGCTCCATGCAGGGAGCCCAACACAGGACTCAATCCCAGGTCTCCAAGACCACGCCCTGGGCCAAAGGCAGGCGCTAAACTGCTGAGCCACCCAGGGATCCCCAAGCACCTAGATTTTAATCCTAGCTCTGTTGCTTACTAACACTGTGATCTCAGGCAAGCTTCTTAACTTCTCTGTGCCTGAGTTTTAAAGTTTTTATTTAAATTCCAGCTAGTAACATACAGTATAATGTTAGTTTCAGGTGTATAATACAGTGATTCAGCACTTACGTACATCACCCATGCTCATCACAGCAAGTGCCCTCATTAATCTCCATCATCTATTTAACCCATCTTCCCCACCCACCTCCACTCTGGTAACTATCAGTTTATTCTCTATATTTAAGTATCTGTTTCTTGGTTTGTGTCTCTCTCTCTTTTTTCCCTTTTGCTCATTTGTTTTGTTTCTTAAATTCCACATATGAGTGAAATCATACAGTATTTGTCTTTTTCTGACTAGCTTATTTCACTTAGCATAAATACTATCTAGTCCATCCATGTAGTTACAAATGGCAGGATTTCATTCTTTTTTATGACTGAGTAATATTCCATTATATATATATGTGTGTATTATATATCTCATATCTTCTTTATTCATTCATGAATTGGTGGACACTTGGGCTATTTCCATAATATGGGTATTGTAGATAATGCCGCTATAAATGTCAGAGTGCATGATCCCTTTTTTAAAAGTAGGCTCTACACTGAATGTGGAACCCAATGTGGGGCTCGAACTCACGACCCTGAGATCAGGACCTGAGCTGAGATCAAGAGTCAGATGCTCAACCAGCTGAGCCACCGAGGTACCCCTGTATCCCTTTGGATTAGTATTTTAGTATCCTTTGAGGGGCACCTAGGTGGTTTAGTGGTTGAGCATCTGCCTATGGCTCAGGGTGTGATCCCAGGGTCCTGGGATGGAGTCCCACATCAGGTTCCCTGCAGGGATCCTGCTTCTCCCTCTGTCTATATCTCTGCCTCTCTCTGTGTCTCTCATGAATTAATAAATAAAATCTTAAAAAATATTTTTGTATCCTTTGGGTAAATACCTAACTGCAGTTGCTGGGTCCTAGGGTAGTTTTATTTTTAATTTTTTGAGGAGTCTCGGTACTGTTCTCCAGAGTGGCTGCACCAGTTTGCATTCCCACCAACAGTTCAGAAGTGTTTCCCCCTCTCTACATCCTCGCCAACACCTGTTGTTTCTTTGTTGATTTTAGCCATTCTGACAGGTGCGAGGTGATATCTTATTGTAGTTTTGATTTGCATTTCCCTGATGATGAGTGATGTTGAGTATCTTTGGTCTGTTGGCCATCTGTGTGTCTTCTTTGGAAAAATATCTATTCGTGTCTTCTGCCCATTTTTAACTGGATTATTTGTTTTTTGGATGTTGAGTTTTATAGGTTCTTTGTATATTTTGGATACTAAGACTTTATCAGATATGTCATTTGCAAATATCTTCTCCCATTCCGTAGGTTGCCTTTCAGTTTTGTTGATTGTTTCCTTCACTGTGCGGAAACTTTTTAATTTTGATATAGTCACAATAGTTTATTTTTGCTTTTGTGTCCCTTGCATCAGGAGACATATCTAGAAAGAAGTTGCTATGGCAAATGTTCAAAGAAATTACTGCCTGTGTTCTTTTCTAGGATTTTTATGGTTTCAGGTTTCACGTTTCAGATCTTTAATCCATTTTAAGTTTATTTTTATGTATGCTGTAAGAAAGTGGTCCAGTTTCATTCCTTTTTCCTTTTTTTAAAGATTTATTTATTTTGAGGGTGGGGAGAGGCAAGAGAAAGTGAGAGAGAGTCTTAGGCAGACTCCACGCTGAGCACGGAGCCTGACTTAAGGCTCGATCTCACCACCCTGAGATCCTGACCCAAGCCAAAACCAAGAGGTGGACACTTAACCTACTGTCCCACTCAGGTGCCCCAGTCCAGTTTCATTCTTTTGCACGTTGCTGTCCAGTTTTCCCAGAACCATTTGTTGAAGAGACTGTCTTTTCCAATTGGATACTCGTTCCTGCTTTGTTGAAGATTAATTGACATATAATTGTGGGTTCATTTCTGGGTTTTCTATTTTGTTATATTGATCTATATATCTATTTTTGTTGTGCCTGAATTCTATAATCAATTGTATGGACATAGGAAATCTTATCTTGCATGGTTTGTGTGTGATGTAATTGCCACAACAATTATAAGGTGCCTGGACTTGACTGTCATGTTCTTTGTGTTATATCCCTTCCCCTCCTGCTCCTAACAGCTAACTCTTATTTGCCAATTTGGGGTTTGTTTCCCAAAAGGCCATCATAACATGTCAAAAATACTTTGTATGAATGAAAGAATAATACAGACAGACATGTTTTAGTGAGAAAAAAGGGTTATTTTCCCATTTGTTTAAGACATCATAAGGCATTAACACTCAGCATTCTGGAAACTCAAATTTTTCGTATAGCAAAGTGTTTAGAGAATTAAAAGATACCAATATTTCACTTCAGATACTTTGCACTTTGGATATTTGCTATGTTTGGTGCAGACAAGATCCTTAGGGATGGTGCAGGATTTTGTCTTTATACTCTGTGACCCAGCACAGGACTTGAGACTTCTGAGATGCTCAAATAAATGTTTGTTGAACAAATAAATGAATGTTTCATGGAATGCAATTGTGTGAACTAGTGAAAGTTGAACTATTTTATAACTAAATAGAATATTTCTGTTGTCTAGTTTTTGCTGGGGCTGAATTTAGCTGACTGATGCTTGGTAACCATGGTTTATGTGCTCACTCATGCCAGGGTCACAGGGGAGAGGGGCCTGGGGTTTATATTTCGGGAAATGCAATGTGATCATTTACCTTTCATACTTTTCTCTTTGCTTTTGTTTTTTTTTCATCTTTCCTAGTAGATTGTACTCTCCCTGAGGACAGAGACCATGGCTCATGTTTGATTTCTCAGTACTTGTCACATTGTTGATATTCAGTAAAACTGGTTGAGTGGATGAATATAGTAGCAAAGACAGCTTGAAGGAAAGTTAGCATTTTTGGATTTTTACATGATTTTAGAAATGCAGCATCCTATCACTGTCCATTCTCATCTAGTCTGATTCATTCTGTCTCCTCTCTAGCTCTTCCATTGATCCTATGCTTGGATTTACTGTCCTTTAATCTCATCCTTATAAATGCCACGTGATTTGTGGGACAAGGTTGAGGCTTTGAAATTAAACAGACCCTGATTTCAGTTCTGAATCCACAACTTCCTGATTGTGTGATCTTGAGTAGGCATGTGACCTCTTGGTCCCTCTGTCTTTGTTGGTGAAGAGAAGGTAATTAACTAGTTTGTCTTCTATCTGGCAGAGCTGTTTTGAGAACTGATTGGCTTGAGGACTGTAAGGCACCTAGTCATAGTAGGGGCTCTAGAAATAGTAGATGTTGTCACTGTCCTTATTTCCATTCTCTTTACCCTTGTACTCCTTTTTCCAACCAGAAAACATGCATTTCTAATGCTGGCCATCTGTTAGCAGTCTCCGGACTGCTGTGAATTGCTGGAGACCACCCCACTATGAGCTTCACCATTTCACTTCATTGGGAACTTTATATCATATCACTCTGATTAATAAACGCCTTAATAAGAATCACTATTCTTTGCCCCATTAAAATAAAACAAGGATAAATGTGACTTTTCAGAAAAACTCCTCAAATTATAAAGCAAAGAGTTGGAGAGTTAAATGACATGTGAAGAATCTAAGGACACAGCATACATTCAAGTTTATGATTTTTTTATTCTCTTTCTCTCCCCATTTATTACAATAGATTCTAAAAAAATTGCTCTCACAACAGGACCATTAGCCCTAGTAGATTTAAGGACTCTTTCACCAGTATTTTTTCTTGAAATAATTGAGTTTGCTGGAAGAAATTACTCAGCTCAATATTTTTCATCTCCCTCTAATACAAATGTATTTGATTCCTATAAATCTGAGTGAGGTCAGTCAGGAAATTATACATATTTGTTTTCCACAGGGTGTATAAGCTATTAAGTTATGTTGCATTTATTATAGATCATGTTTACTTGTTGGCAAGATAATTTGAATGATTGAGAACAATATTTTAGAACATGTAACACTAGGAAAACAACCAGAAAGGAGGATTGAAGCAAACTGTTCCTTATAATAAATACTTTAAGTAAATAAAATATTCTATTGTGATTCAGGCATCTATTTGCATTAAAATACATTAAAATATCATTCAATATTATGCATACTGTTTATTCTTAGGGCTTATATATGTATCTATATTTCCTTCCTATATGTTTATATCACTTACTAATTACATTGGGATCTTGTGTAATAGGTGTCTCTATTCCCATTATATCTTTCTTCCAGCTTCAAATATGTGGATGTTTTCTTGGCTTTGTACCATTTTAATTTTTTTGGCAATCGCTGGTATGGACACAGTAGCAAAGACCACACCACATACCAAATTTACGAAGAAATCTGAGGGGAAAGAGATGCCAAAGGGTTTCAAGCCATCCAGTGGCCCAGCTCCAGAAGAAGAGGAGATTCTTTTCACAGAAGCAGCTGAAAAAGCAGAACCCACCCCCAGGCCCCCAGCCCTAGAGTCAGCCTTCGGTGCTGCCACTCTCTTCCCCTTTGAAAACTTCACTCTTGATGCGGCCGATTTCTTTTTGAACTGCTGTGATTGCTGTTCTTCTGTACCAGGGCAGAAAGGAGACCCCGGAGAGACTGGAAAGACAGGTACTTGCAAATACCCAAAGCCATATTTGTTACCTGGATGTCCTTGGAGTTGAGAGGTAGATGGGAAGCAGAACTGCCTGCAGGGGTTCTACGTGGTTTTGCAAATGGTGACAGGCCTGGGTGGAACACGGTGACAAATGCAAATGGGTGCTATGTTGCCCATTAGCCGCATGTGTGGCTATTAACAAAAATAAACCTAAGGATTAATATTAAGAATTCAGTTCAAAAAAAAAAAAAAGAAAAAAGAATTCAGTTCCTCAGTCATACTAGCCACATTTCAAACACTCAATAGCTACATGTGGCCAATGACTCCAGTACTGGGCTGTACAGATATAAGTCCTTCCATAATTTTTTTTTTAAAGCACTTCCATCATTACAGAAAGTTCTACTAGAAAGTGCTGGTTAGAGCAGAAACGGGGCTACCAACCCCAGCCCTGGCACGCGGTTCTTCAAATTACACATTTCCTACCAATATGGTTTTTTCATCAGCGGCTGATGTAAAAAGGGTAAAGGAAAATCCTGCTGTCTAGGTAGAAGGTGTGTGGACTGATGGGTTTCTGGAGTGCTATTTGTAGTTTGGATTAGAAATGGCATGTCTGTGAGGTGGAGAATAAGGGGCAGTGTTCAGTTTGCTCTTCATTGAAATTCCAAGGCAACACTGTCCTTGCCCCACAATTTTCTCCATTGAACATCATGGTTACATATTTCAATATTCCAGATACCTTTAATACATACATTACTCATACACTGAGTTTTACTGTAATACATTTCAGCTTTCACGTGTCATATAGCAGAGAATTCAGGTAAAATTGAGATCAGAATGTCAATTTCAAATTTGCTATCCCCTGGGGGAAAAAATGACTGTATGGATATATTTGTTGTGTCTTGCTTGGAGAACTTAAAGTTATAAAATCAGGAATTGTGCATCCTCATTAAGCTTTTCATTCATTTCATCTTATAATAGGAAACTTTTGGGAAATGTGATCAATATTCATGCAGAGCTGGAATTAGAGGGTACAGTTGCTGGGCAGTGGTCAGGGCATGAAGATTACTGGGTTGCTAAAACATTATTGGAAATGCAATGATACTGAGAAAATTACATTTACCAGAATTTCTCTTAGTATCATATCTGGCTGGTGAGCTGCTTGGGGGTGAAGACCCCCAAGGGCATGGTCAAGTAAACACAGCTGGTTGCTAAATTGTCTTCTAAGGCCATGGGTCTGTCCCATCAGAGCGTTTGTTTTACCCAGTGATGGATTAACCGGGCTGTTCTCAGAGCTCAGTCTCTCCTGTAAATACATAGGACAGATATTTTGGAGATTTTGGAGATGTGCCAAATTCTTTGCCTGCCTGGAGTGCTCATATGTTTTAGTCTGACTGGTTCTGTACAGAGCAGAGTGTTTAAGAGCTCAGAATGTCTTATCTTGTCTCTCACCATCCTGAAACTTGGGGAAGCTTCATTACCTACATTTCAGTTTTCAAAGTAGTAAAATGAGATAAGAATAATACCAACTTCATGGAGTCATCAAGAGATGGAATGAGGTAATGTGTGTCTGTGTGTGTGTGTGTGTGTGTGTGTGTGTGTGTAGGCTCAGTGTGGTACCTGGGATAGGATAAATGCTCAAAAAATGGTGTTTCTTTTTCCAGTTAGCTGTAGTAGGAGTCTTTTCCTAGCTTGGGAAATTCTCAGCCTTATAGGGTCTTTTTTCTGAGATTCATAGACATTTGTTCTACCTTTTCCAGTGTTTCAGAATTACTGTTTTGTTAAGCAATCAGAGATCCAGCAGAAGAGGGACATTAATCAAACTGGAAAATGAAAAAGAACCTACTGAAATAGGACTATTTTAATTTTTCTTCGTTATCTTTCAGTTCTTGGACACATGAACACACACACACATACACACACATAAACACACTGCATACATGACTTTTACATTATCCACTGTAATGCAGATAGCAAAGGTAGACTTTAAAAGTCACAAGCCTAATTTTATAGTTTATGAATGAAAATGTCTTAAAGTGTACAGATATAGCTAATAGCTAGCAAAGGAAAGATTCCACCTGAAATTTTATCTCCAACTTCTCTCATTTAGTTGAGTTATAATTATAGTTACCTACTATGTGCTAAGAACCATGAAGCACTTTATGCTGTTTCTAATCTTTACACAAATTGTTAAAGAATCATTACATTTCAATGGATGACTTAATCACATTTCCAAGAGTTTTAGTAACTCTAGAGGTAATACCACCAGGAAGTGTAAAACATGGAGTCAGATCTGGGTGCACCACCAAGCCCCAGCTCTTCCCATTATGTCCAGCCTTACAGTATTTATACTAATTTCTCCTACATGTATGTGTCACTTAGATGGACTTCCTGCCTCTGTGTCCTCTCATGCAGTTTCCATGTGCTCCCTGTGCCAACCTGGGCACTGCTCTTTATTATTTCCCTCAATAGTATAACCATACCGGGCATTTAGGGCTCATGAGGAAGGGAGACATTGCACAGTGGACCGCAACTGGCCATCTTACTTGCTTCTACCCACACTGCCCATTCCTTCTCCATTCCTTTAATCTCTGCTCTCCTTTCTTTTCTAGAATGTAATTACCACCTTTGTTTATTTGAGTTTGCTTTTAGCTTTAACCTCCGCCGCAAGCACTTTCTTCCAAATAAATGTAGTGTTTTTTTTCAAAGAAAAAATTCTGTTGAATATAATTTTCTCCATCCCATCAACTCCAGTTACACAAATTAAGATGAAGTTAAGATGAAATATTACTATTTCATTGAGTTCACTTATCTTTATGGTTAACTTCCAAAGAACCTGGCTATTAATTACTCCAATCAGGAGTAAGACAGGATACCCTTGAAATCTGAGCCGTGCACCATCTGACCCTAGCCTGCCTCTCAGCCTCCTTCATCCTATTACTAGCTCCACCCACCGTACACTTCTTTTAGTTTCTTAAAAACACCGTGGTTTTTTTCCACACTTGTTTTGCCTGGAATACTCATTTATGGGTGTTTTGTTTTGTTTTTTTCCTTGGAAAATCGTAATTTGTTCATTGGGTCTTAGCTTAATGCCATTTTCTCAGGGATGTCTCTGCTGATCCCGTAAATCAGGTTCATTTACCACAATCTGTAATAGGACCTGCCTATTTTTCTTCACATCACTAACTACAATGTGATAACTTCTGTGTATTTTTGTGGTTATTGTTCAATGTATCTTTCTTGGGCTCTCAGCTTCCTGAGGAAAAGGATGGCTGGGATGTTGATGGCTAATGCCGAACACCTGGCAAGGGTGCTGGTGTCTAGGAGCCTCAGCAATAGTTCCCGAAGAATTACATAAGTGAATAAATGGGAAAACCAAAAGTGCTACGTATTGTAGTTTTACTTCCAATTTGAAAGTGTTGTCCACATGAGGTTAAGAGCTAGATAATCATTTTGTTCTTGTTGTTCGATATTGCACTGCTTCCCCAAATCATTTGATTGCTGCCATGAATCCAGTGACAAGTACTAATGGGCTCAATTTATCTATTCAGGTAGTACAAAATTACAAATCAGATGAAAATATTGTCTTGAGAATTATGTAGTAGTCTATTCTTACCCAGATTTTATTATTAGGACACTGACAGTCATTGGTCTCAATAAAATGAGTGCCTAAAATTTTTTTTTTCCAGAACTAATGCATTTCAAAAGAGATTTTTTTTTTTATCCTGATGGTTTTTAAATCTCATTTCCAGGTCTTAAGGGAGAGGCTGGTGATATGGGGATCCCAGGGCCACCAGGAGTTGTTGGACCCCAAGGTCCAAAAGGCCAAAAAGGAGAGAAGGGTAGGTAGTTATATTGATTTCATGTCAAAACTCAAGATGTATTCTGCATCCTTTTTCAGTAGAACAACTTGCTAAGCAAATACCATATTCTTGCAGGTGGAACAATTTTTTAAAAAGATTATTTATTTATTTGAGAGAGAGAGAGAGTGCGAGCATGAGCACGAGCAGAGGGAGGTGCAGAGGGGGAGGAAGAAGCAGCCTCCCACTGAGCAGGGGGGTGGACATGGGGCTGGATCCCAGGACCTCTGAGATCATGACCAGAGTCAAAGACAGATGTTTAACTGACTGAGCCACCCAGGCACCCCATAGGTGGAATAATTTTCAAAAATACAAAAATTTGGTAAAGCATGTTATAAGTTATATTTGATATAAAAATGTTAACTTTATAAATAGCCCATTGAAAATTTTTACACTTTCCCAGTAACATTTCTTTCTCTCCATCCCCCTCCCTCTGCACATACAGAGGCTCTCCTGCCTCTTTTCTCTCCTTCCCTAGCCACATAGTTGACCTAGTGACTGGAAGCCATTGGGCATAGTCTCTGGGGGAGTATCCTTTCCTACATACTCCTGAGTGAGCTCTTCCTTATGATACCTATTAGTTTTGTATTAGATAGAACGAACTAGAGTAGACAATCCTATAGAATATTCTATTTAGATGAATAGCATCCCTGCTAGGGAGACTATGACATGTTCTTTGGCTTGGTCAAATCTGGGCAATGTCTATGGTGGAAAGAGAACTGAATTAAAATGAAAGAAATTGGGATCCCTGGGTGGCTCAGCGGTTTAGCGCCACCTGGAATCCCAGGATCGAGTCCCACGTCGGGCTCCCTGTGTGGAGCTGCTTCTCCCTCTGCCTGTGTCTCTGCCTCTCTCTGTGTGTCTCTCATGAATAAATAAATAAAATCTTAAAACAAAATAAAATGAAAGAAATTGAGCTTGTAACAATGACCTTGGACCAGTCACTTCACCTCATCTGGAAATCAAGGGGGAATAGACTAGGTATGTATTTATACCCTACTTGCTATCAAAGAAGATTTGTCATTATATGTACTTTCATAGATCTTTTCCAGCTCAGAAATTCTATAACTCTATAGATGTATCAACCAGGACGGTGTCCTGCCCTGGGAAATCCCTGGTTCTCTAAGTGCTTTGAGACATTGAGGGAAGGTTGCAGATTCACTGGGACATTTAGAAATTCCTCAGTGAATACTGCCAGCCTGTAGAAATACCATCTATCCATCAAGTTAAATGTTTTAGCCTCAGTGTCACATGTCAAAAGACCTAATATCATCTATACATCACCCTCCACATGGCTCAGGAACTGTCTAGCTCATTTCTGGTAGAACATTCAGTGAAGTAATTACTCAAAAAAGATGCTAAGGTGAGAGAACTACTTCACACTTGTCAGTTATGCGATTTTCATTCTCGGAAACATTTAATCCTTTTGTGGCTGAATTATGTTAGCAGAAAACCCTGTGAAATACAGATGAATGATGAACCTCCCCAGTGATTCATACATTCCGGAAGCTAGACTTCTGGAAGTAGAAGAAAAAACAGGGAAGTATCATAAGATAAGTTTCTTAAGAATATGCTTTGATTAAGGATCAAAAGTAGAAATTCATTCAGCCAGTCTCTATAGAGTGGCAAATCTACTTTCCTTTTACTTCCAGACTTCGCTTGGACTCTTGGTTAAGATTGAAAGTTAAAAAAATAAAGGAGTTGACTGACTGCATTCCAGTTAACCACAACCTGATTAAGTACATTCAGTGCAAGCAGTTAAATTCCTTAAATGAACTTGAGAACCAGAGTAACTGTGCAGTGATGGTTGGCATATGAATATTGACAAGGATGGGGAATAGAATTGGTCCCTCACTTCCAATCAGAGTTGGATTCTCTCCTAAGGGATCCTAACATTTTCCTGATGGCCTATGGGTTAATTTTCAAATTGTAAATTTCATGTAGAATGGTAACGGGAGGGGGTTAGCTACTTAGAAAACTGCTGAGCAGCTTATGGTAGAATTTTTCTAATTGGTCTTGTGAAACATGGGATAGTCTTTTCTCATGACTTGTAATTTGACTTAGAATTTCTTTTTCCTAGCAAAAATAAATAAAAAAATTAGTTATGTCATAAAGCATGTGGTTGACAAATTGATGTCAACCAATGTTATATGCAGACATGTTTGATTCTATACAAATTTGTAAACTTTCATACCTCAATTTCTTCTGTGATAAACAATGATGATAAAAGTATCTGCTCTAGGGACGCCTGGGTGGCTCAGCAGTTGAGCATATGCCTTCAGCTCAGGATATGATCATAGAGTTCCAGGATCGAGTCCCGCATTGGGTTCCCCGCAGGGAGCCTGCATTTCCCTCTGCCTAGGTCTCTCTCTCTTTCTCTGTGTCTCTCATGAGTGAATGAATGAATGAATGAATGAATCTTAAAAAAAATTATCCGCTCTACTTTTCTTGAAGGGAGATGCTATAAACTTTTGGAAGTGAAAAATATTCCAATTTATAAAATGTGCTCTGTTATATGAGCCTCTCTGTTATACAAGAGGCTGTATTAATATCAAATAAGAATTAATTTTGAATTTGAAAGGATGAATTAAATTTAAAAAAATTATGTTAAGAGCTTAGAACGTTGCCTGGTCAAAGGAAATCCTCAATAAGAGGTATTATTGGGACGCCTGGGTGGCTCAGTGGTTGAGTGTCTGCCTTTGGCTCAGGGCGTGATCCTGGGGTCCTGGGATCGAGTCCCACACTGGGCTCCCTGAGTGGAGCCTGCTTCTCCCTCTGCCTGTGTCTCTGCCTCTCTCTCTCTGTCTCTCATGAATAAATAAAGAGAATCTTAAAAAAAAAAGTTAGGTATTACTATTACTATTATTAATTATAGTTAAAATGAATTTAGTGTGGCTATACTTTAGTGGGATGGAATTTTAGCTAGGCCCAATATGGAAATCCAGTTTATGGTACTATGGTGAATATCTAAAAACCTGCATCTTTAGATTTTTTTTCAAATGTGAATTCTCACGATTCTACGACTTGTCCAAAGTGTGTATAAAAAATTTTCCAAAAAAAAAAGAAAATTGGCTTCTCGTTCATGCTCTATGTCAAGGACTTTATATTTATATCTATATCTATATTTATACTTACTGTCTTGGAAAGGTTTTTGATATGATTAGTTTTAGCTAACTGCAGAATGTCACACTCTGTGTTTAAACTTATATGGTGGTGATGCTCTTTTTTAGGCACTGTGGGGACTATAAAGAAGGGGGCATTTTCAGCGTCATTCAGAATTCATGAGAGGAAAAACACAGACACATACATAAATAACACAAGGCAAAATGTCATGAATTTCATGAGAGATTTGAAGAACTATGGGACTGTGGGAGGGGAAAGCTGAATTCTGTTTGAAGAGATTGGCACTATTCCCAAATCTCATTTAAATGGTTTACCATCGATTGGAACACAGTATTCCTAACAAGGCTCAATATATTCTCTTTCCATGTTGTTTTACCTTTTTGCATTTTGGTAAAGGAAGCACTGGAATGTGACGTGGTTGCAAAATGGATTTTAGTTATATCATAACTAATATGGTCGGAAGGAAGCTAATCTTGGTATCATTTCAGGACTGAAGGGAGAACGTGGGGATCAAGGAACAAGTGGAGTTCCAGGATACCCAGGGAAACCTGGCGAACCAGGTAGAGAATAAACTGTATCTGTCAGGTACTGTCATGTCTGCAGCATAGTCCATAATTTCCTTCCTGTTTGTGCTTAGAGTCATGCGGGAGGTAAGAGGGGGGTTAGGAGGGAGACATGAGTTGCTCTTACTTATTCTCATAATTCAGTGTACTGATTGCTGGAGTGTAACAATCACTGGTCTGGTAGTTTGGGGGCTAGATACAATCATCTGAGCTCCTGTCCTCAGTCTAGATGACTTTGGGGGAAAAGATCCCCAAATCGTTCTGGGTTTCAGTTTCTTTGCGGGTAAGATTTTGGGTTTGGGGGTGGGCAAGGGAGATTTAGGAGAATATGTGTGTGGGGGGGCTAAATGCAAAGTGTACAGATCCTTACAGATTATTTTAATTTTCTGTTGCAGGTGGCCTTGGACCTAAGGGGGAGAGGGGAAACATCGGACTGGCGGGAGAGAAAGGACAAAAAGGGTCCAAGGGGGACACATGTGCAAATGGTACCCAAGGAGATAAAGGAGACCAGGGCGCCGTGGGCTCCCCCGGCTTGAAGGGAGAGCCTGGGGCCAAGGGGGAGAAGGGTGACTGTGGAGAGTCGGGGGAGATGGGAGGAAAGGGAGAGAAAGGCCAGGAGGGTCTTAAAGGAGAAAAAGGTAGCAAAGGAGACCCTGGAATGGAGGGCAAAGGTGGCCCAGCTGGCCTGCCTGGGGCCCCAGGTGATCCAGGCAAGAAGGGAGAAAAGGGAGAGTTAGGACCCCCTGGTCTTGTGGGACCCACGGGGCCAAAAGGTGAGGTTGGAAGCAAGGGGGGCCGAGGATCTGTTGGCAAGAAGGGCTCTCGGGGTCTCCGGGGCTCCAAGGGCGAGGTGGCCAGAGTTGTGAGGGCAGCTTTCAGCGCTGCCTTATCCAAGCCTTTCCCGCCTCCCAACATCCCCATCAAATTCGACAAGGTTCTCTATAATGACCCGGGGAATTACAGCCCTGTCACTGGCAAATTTAACTGCAGTATTCCTGGGGCCTATGTTTTTTCTTATCATGTCACTGTGAGGGGCCGCCCCGCTCGCATCAGCCTGGTGGCCTGGAAGAAGAAGAGGTTCAAGTCCAGAGAAATGCTCTCTGGTCATGAAATAGACCAGGCCTCTCTCCTCATCATCCTGAAATTAAGTGCGGGGGACCAAGTCTGGTTGGAAGTGTCAAAAGATTGGAATGGGCTATATGTCAGTCCTGAGGATGACAGCATTTTTACTGGGTTCCTTTTGTACCCAGAGGAAGATTCTGGAATTTCACCATAAACTTGGTGCCTTGAACCGTTTGTAGTTTGGCTTCAGTGGAATAAGTCAGGCAATGTAAGGTAGCACGATTAAAAAAGAATAACTCATTATTTTTTTTTCATGGATATAAAAATAATGCAGAAAAAATGATATCACCCAGAGTAAATTACTATGCCTATTTTAAGACATCACCTTTTCTTAAAAATTAAAAAAATATATTTTATCGAACAAGAGAGGGAGAACAGAGGGGGCAGAAGAAAAGGGAGAGAGAAAGAATCTTAATTAGGCTCCACACTCAGTGCAGAGCCCTAGATGAGGCTGGATCTCATGACCCTGAGATCATGACCTGAGCTAAAATAAAGAGTCGGATTCTTAACCAACTGAGCACCCAGGTGCCCCTTCAGACATCACCTTTTTAGAAGAATATATTTATATGTATTTCAAAACACATGTCTATTAACTTTGTAACTAGCTTTTCTTCCATTGAGCATTCTAATGGCATTTTTCATGCCATTTAGATAATATCTGTATGTGGAAAATATGATTGACATCTGTAATTAATAAATATATTCTTACTAAATATCTTCTATATCTCATATAAATGTGTGCAACTCTTTTCTGTGTGGATATGAGTCTAACAAGTGACACATGATGGGCTGGTATCTCTCAAAAGTTTAGAAACTGTCAGGATTGTCTTCCAACAAAATGGAACTATTCCCATGCTTATTTAATTCAGGGAAAATACACAAAAAGAATACGAAGGACTAAACTATCTTTAAGATGAATCAGTGTAAAGCTTTGGCCATAAAAAAAACTCGGTATTAGATGGACTTGTGTGTTGGGTAAAAGGTAAAAAGAAAGTTGATAAAAAAAAAAAAGAAAAAAGAAGACAGTTGATAAAGATATTGCTCAGTCATAACAAAGATCCAGCCATTCATCAAATTATTGTACTTAGAAAAACTAAATGTCCCCCAAAGATTCAAGAGTAAAATTAAATCACTATTGATCTAAATTTCCAGTCTTCCTTTCTTCATGGAGGAACATTTAATTTGGATAAATTCTTTGGCTTCATTATCATCATGTCTATAATAATTAATTCTGGTTATTCAGTGAACAGGTGGGTATTTGGGAATTCACTTGCAATGAGAATATTTAATAATTATGAATATGTAGTAATTTAGCAGCTTCATTTTTCAAAGGAACTAATTTATTGACTCCAGATTGAATTTGGTTCAATGAAGGCAGATAGTTACAAAGATTCACAAACCTTAGTGAGTTAAATGGGAAGTGGATGATGATCTTGCCCTACTAGACAAATAAACTTTGAAAAACGTGATTTCCTTTTAGATTTATAAATCCATTTAAACTATGCTCTATCTTCTTGCTTTAATGTATATTTTTATGTTGAAAGTGAAAGGAAAAGCTGTAGTTATTATGACTGACACTTCAACATCAAATATGACTGCATTGCTATTGTGTGTGTCTGGCTGGTCCATTAATGGGAGGGTGATATTTGGATGAGTAGTGAAAGGAAGATCTTAATTCATGAATTGCCGTAATTGTTTAATATTTCCAGCTGCCAAGCATACAACTGTTGCAGACACCAGGTAATTCATGAGTACCTGAAGAATGATGAACTGAAACACAATGAGAGCAAGGAAATGGATGCTCAGTACAATTGAGACAAAATCTTGGGAAGTCGATAAATTAAGCTGCACTTCTCTTAATTAAGCACATTCATTGCTCAAAGGCTCCTCACACCCCAAAGCAGTGTCCATCTCCTATGTCCACGGCAGTACAACCCATTAGTGTTGATGACATTGGGAGACAGTCACCTTTTATTTGATGCACAATAGGCCAGAGCTATGGAGAAGAGTTTCCCAGGGCCTGCAAGTGGTAGTAATAGGAATACATATTGAAGACTGAGGGCTGTTCTGTCCTAGAATTGAACCTTGATCTCTAATCAAGGTGCCTTGGGTACTATGGTAAATTTATATGTTGTGTGTCTTTTCTTTTATGCAGACTCTTCTAAAGCATGGGGCCCGGGTCAGGGGCCATTTTTGCTTGGATCTAAAGGCAGTATTCCCCATTTCTGCCCTTGTCTCCTTCAATCAAAGCAATCCTGTTAAAAAAAAAAAAAAGTTGGATCATCTTACTTCTTTGCTCACAGCCTCTTGAGGGTCCTGTCTCATCTGGAGTTGAAGCTGAATCCTTACTATGACCAGAGAGGCCTCATGTGATGTGGCCCCTGCTTTCTCTCTAACTCTCCTGCCATTTATTCTGCACATGCTCTGGGTGTTGCCTTCAATGCTAATTCCTCAAATTCACCAAGCATATTTCCACTTATGGCTTTGCAAATGCCTTTCTGTCTACACAGCTCTTATCCCAGGTAATTGCATGACTGGCCCCTTCCTTTCTCTCAAGCTTTTGTTCAAATACTGCTTTTTCAGTAAGGCCTTCTTTGGCCATGAGGTTTGTTTTATTTATTTATTTATTTATTTATTTATTTATTTATTTATTTATTTATTTATTTTTGTTTAGTTTTGTCTACCATTTATTCTTTCAAATAAAAATGGTGTTCCAGGGCAGCCCGGGTGGCTCAGCAGTTTAACACCACCTTCAGCCCAGGGTGTGATCCTGGAGACCCGGGATCGAGTCCCATGTCGGGCTCCCTGCTTGGAGCCTGCTTCTCCCTCTGCCTGTGTCTCTGCCTCTCTTTCTCTCTGTGTCTCTCATGAATAAATAAATAAAATCTTTTTAAAAAATGGTGTTCCATGAAAACAAAACAAAACATGTAGATCAGTTTGCAAGTCAAATTCACCCAAATGCATTTCTTAGACAATCACCTTATTTTTATACACAGCTGAAGTGCTTTTTCTGTACTCCAATTTATTCACATGGATTATTAAAAAGACATGTACTTAAGGGTAAAAGCTAATAAAGTTTTTTTTTTACTGTTTCATCAAGGATATTCTTTTTTTAATTTTTAAAGTTTAATCAACATATAGTATATTACTAGTTTCAGAGTAATTTCGTGGTTCATCAGTTGCATATAACACCCAATGCTCATTACATCACATGCCCTCCTTAATGCCCATCACCCAGCAACCCCATCTGCCTAACTCCTTCCCTTCCAGGAACCCTCAGTTTTTTCCCCATAGGCCATGAGATTTTTAATTGGAGTTTTAAAATCCAATCCAATCATACCCATCAGGGTATGAAGAACATACCCTGATCTTCTTCCCTGCTTTGTTTTCCTCCACAGCACTCCGCACCCTCTAATAAACCATGTATTTCACTTACTGATCTTGTTTATTTTCTGTCTTCCCACTAGAGAGTAAGTTCCACGAGGCCAGGGATTTGTGTCTACTTATTGCTCCCTCCCCAGCACCAGCACACTTAATACACATTCTGTGGATAGATTGATGTGGTTGTTGTAGATCTCTCCACAAGGTGGTGCTCACAGATTATTTTTCTTTTGGATTGTGCCCTTTTTTTTAAAAAAAAAAAAAAAAAACAACAAACTGTTGCAAAGCAAATACAATGGTGACATAGATTTCATAATTAAGACACTAGCTTCCTGAAATACCATATTTTATGTTTCATTATGTTTCAGAGAGCCACACATTTTCTTTCTCTGTTGGGACATTGGACTCTGGGCCATTCTCTGGGGCAGTAGTGAGAGACTTACAGCTATGAAAGGGGAATGTGTCTTCTGTTGTCTGGATGTGATGTTCCTTCTGAGTGAGGGCCTGATCCATTTTTATCTCCCACTCCAGCCCAAAAGGATTCCATTTTGTGTCCTGGGAATTAATATATTCTGTAGCTGCAAACTCACAAAAAAGTTTAAAATGAGGCAAGGGGATGATAAACTTGAAGGATTATTTATTTATTTATTTTTAAAAAAGGATTTGTTTATTTTAGAGAGAGAGTTCATGACAGGAGGAGGGGTAGAGAGAGAGGGAGAGGGAGAGAATCTTAAGCAGACTCCCCACTGAGTGCAGAGCCCTTCACAGGGCTTGAACTCAAGATCCTGAGATCATGACCTGAGCCAAAATCAGGAGTCAGATGCTTAACTGACTGAGCCACCCAGGTGACCCTAAATTAGAAGGTTTAAGAATGCTGTAAGACCTGGAAGAAGGATGTAGGGAGAAGGAAAAATTGAGAGCCGTGTATCTGCCCATGACCAAGATGGGTGGGGCAGGCAGGAGAGAGAAATGATAGGAATTATGGAGCCATAATAACTACTGTTTCCTAGGTCCTACCAATGTGCCAACCACAGAGCTTTGTGTGTCTATAATGTCTTAAGTGATATGTTAACGCATGAAGTGATTGAAGTGTGGGATGATTAGGCCATGTCCCAAATGACACCCATCTGTTAGGTGAAGGATCCATGAAGCCACTCAACCAATGAAGCAGGGCAATTTTCTAAAAAGCTTGGCTGGTGAAACCTGGTATAATGGGAAAAAGAAAATTAGTAGCCTAGTTTCTAAAGGCGAGCACCCCACATGGAAAAGGGAATGAGAAGGGGAACGAAAATCTACTGACATCTCAGCATGAGGTGCAAGAGTGGGCTTGTTGTAAAACTGCAGGTGAAACCAAGGACTTTACTGATAATTGAGACTATCGTTGAGTGCTCTGACCAGCCTAGTGTATAATCCATGTGAATTTGGTGGAAAAATTTAGTAGGAGTGCTTGATTGTTCTAGGAGCTAGGATTTTTTATTTATTTATTTATTTATTTTATATTTATGATAGTCACACACACACACAGAGAGAGAGAGACAGACAGAGACACAGGCAGAGGGAGAAGCAGGCTCCATGCACCGGGAGCCCGATGTGGGATTCGATCCTGGGTCTAGGAGCTAGGATTAAAGCATAATTAATTGTTGATTGAATTATAAGAATTATGTTGCGTCTAATCAAAATGGTGTGAGAGATTTGTATATTCAGGGTCCTTCCTTCTGAAGTAGGAAAATGCATGGAAGCTTCTCTTGTCTTGAGCTGGTGGCAAAGAGCTGACAAGGCAAAGGCTCCTGCGCTCTCTGCATAGCCATTCGTTTGTTTAGGGTTTCTGTGTGCCTGGCTGAGGTTCCGAGGATAAGTCAGTGAGC